AACCTAAGGGTACGAGGTGCGATGCCAAAACCACTGATGAACTTAAAATTCAAACCTTCAAGGTAAAGGGACGATGTGAAAAGTTCAAAATGATCCAGCCTCTGAACCTGAGGGTACGATGTATGATATGAAGAACAGCTACGGACTTAGGATTTTAGCCTTTTAACGTTTTTAAGTTAAAGGTGCGATGTTAAAAAGTCCAGAGTTGGTGCAATGCATTGAATTCTAGACAGAGATTCAAATTCAAACTTGCAATTATTTTAATTAAAGGCGTGACCTCAAAGGTAAGAGGTGCGAGGTGACATTGGCTGCAGTTCAAAGAAAAAGCAAAAAAGGGAAAGATGTTGCCAACACCAAAGTAAAAGCGAACAAAGCTTCTTCATTAAATGGAGAGCAGAGCCAAGGCTTATAGACCTTGCAGCTCTGCCCTGACACTTACAAACAAAAAAAGGAGAAGAGAAGAAAGACAGAGAAATGCCTCATGAAGGATGATCGCCTAAGAGCCTGCCTGAGGAGCGCCCTCCTTAGTGGTGCCGACCTGGTCCTCTTCGAGATCGGAGCAGTCAGAGTCCAGATCTCTGACATACTTATCCACCAATGCTTGGGGGCCAGGAGTGCCGCCAGGCCCAGACGCCCACTGCTCGGCATACTTCTTTTTCAGACCACTGAGATCGATCTGAAGGTCAGGCATGTCGGAAGCAATGCCCTTCATGAGGAACTTGAAGCCCGCGTGAGAGAAGTCTTTGGCAAATCCGTCGAAGTCGGGATGTTGCCTAAACGATTCCTCCAATAGGACTCCATTGCTGAGACGCTCCTTCGCCGTCTCCAGCTCGGCCGTCGCATGCTTCAGCTCCTCATCCTTCGCTTCAAGCGCCCGGAGCATGTCGTCCTTCTCCTTCAGGAGTTGGAACTTTTCCTTCTCCAAGCCCTTGGTGATAGCATGGGCAGCTCGGAGCTGGGTCTTGCGTCTGTCTTCTTCTTTCTTCAGCAGCTCGGCCTTGGTCTCCACCTCGACCTTCAAAATTTCCACCTCAGAGTGAGCCTTCAGCAGCTCATCCTTCATGGTGGAGGAAGCAGCCTCCAAGGCAGCAGAGAACTCCTCTTTCTCCCTTGCTGCCAGAACTTCCCTCCCATCCAGCTCGGCCTTCACGGCCAGAGCCGATTGAATGGAAGCAACGAACGCCTGAGAAAAGGTACAAATAAGAAGTTAGACCGAGCTACCTGTTAGGTAAATTGAGCAAAAACACCAATCTTACCTCAGCGGCGAAGTCGATGGTCCTCTGCAGAACGGACCCTGGGTCACTTACAAATTTGGACGCCCTCCTTAGGCAGCGGTCCAAACTTGCG